AGAAAGAATTGAGAACCCCTAACAGTAAACTGTTTGGGGAAAAAATATATATTCAAGGGGGTCGAAGAATGGAGTATTTAAAAATATAATGTATACAGTATACAACGCGATTGTATGCGATGCAATCTGATAGAGTAGAGTCCAGTCCACTTCAATCGAATACAGTTTTATACAAAACAAAACACCACAATGCACTGCAATGCAGTGGATGAAAATAAAGAATAGCTAATTGCAAATTGCAGACATTGTTGAATATAAGTTGGACCCCGTTAAAAGTGTACCCACGCTGTCTCTTAAAACAACTGGTGCGGCCGCTTATCGCCGCGAAGCGACCTCAATAGACTTTCTCCCCAGTCCTGTGACAATGTCAGCAGATCCTTTCCAGCTCTGTTTTGCCACCTGGCAAACGCAGACTGCACTGCTTCGTAGTCGTAAGGTTTGGAAGGAACTGATTGAACGCGGACCAACTTGGCAACATCGAGTCACCGGCTCCGCGCCTGGACCAAACGGACCTTCGGACCTCCTTCAGCACTTTGGCCAGTGAAGGGCAATCGTCCTTGTCCAAAGGGCTCTGAGGGCAATCCTAGCCTTCGCACTTCCAAGTGACTCGCCTGCACCACAGCTCGCAGTGCTTGGGCTTTCAGCTTCTCTGCCTGGAAGAAGACTAATTCCAAATAGCATTCGTTGCTGCACAGGCATTTTAGGGCCACCTCTTCATCGGAGATGTCTGGTTTCTCCTTGTCTTCCTGGTCACAGCAAGACTGCTCAATACAATGGCTGCTTCATCAGCTCCACATTCTTCTTCGCGTTCTTGCGGGACCAAAATCAGAAATTCTATGCACTGCAAGCGCACCTCTTCATCGAAGATCTCAAGAACCTCTTCTTGGACATCCAGAGAACCAGCCTTGCGAGGCTGGGAGTGATGAGCTGCTTGCCTCACATCAATTATTGCCATTGGAATACTCCTCTACTTCGGGTGACTCCTGGAAACCTCCCTGCTTTGGGATTGTTGCAACTTGTCTCCATAGTTCTCTGCTGTATTGAGCAGAAGGCACTGACAGGTCACCAAGCCACCTTGCAGCCATTCCAACAGTTCCAGCATGACACTAAGGTCTTCCCGGAGAGAACATCTGAAGATCATTTGAAGAGCTCACCTGATGATCTTTGAACCGAAGCAAATGATGAGCTGGCCAAGAGCGACGACCGGACCCCACTACCCTGAACGTCCGGCGTGTCAATGTAGGGAGGCGAGCCCGGTGCAAACAAATTTTACGCTACCTATGAGTCAAGGTTCAGCCTCTAGCAGCTCTAGCACCCTGCCATTTGGTGAAGGTCTGGTGAAGGCCTGCGCTACATGTGGAGAACTCCAAAGACCAGGATCCTTTCAAAAGCTGCGCGAAGCATTCAGAAAACTGCGGGGAAACTCAATCAAACTGAATTCTGGTCAAGGTCCTCGACTTCCCTGCTTTGACGCAGCTCCACCTCATTGCATGGCACCCAAAGGCAAAACAAGCAACTTCATGAAATTTGATGCATTTTGTACATCCTTTTAACATATGCATGTTCTTTTTGTAATCCATGTGCACCATTCCACCTTGTTTCAGAATGTATTGATGTTCGTTCCACTTGGCACAGCTCCGACAGCTTCCATGAGATCCCCGCATGTCGCAGAATGATACTTTCCGGAACCTGCTTGGCTTGGAGGCTTTGATGTAGAAATTGTTCTGTCCAGCTGCCGCCCTTTTCGAAGCTTGACTTTGTTGGGTCGTGTATAACAAGAACTTTAAGATACAAACCCAAAGAAAGAAACAAAAGCAGCAACCCCTGGCAGCGCGGAGAATGTTTCGTCCAAACCAGTCTCGCAAGTTGGAGACAAGGACGGGTCAAGCTAGTAGGGGGCAGCTTTTCAATGCGGACAGAAAGGTAAACTAGTGCTGACAAAGTGGACACTGAACTGCTAACAAAAGAGGACAAGGCTAACACGAAGCCCTGCTTGTATACTAGCTACAGTAGTCATCAACTCGAAGCCGTCTAGCAGAGTCTAGCGCTCTCTCCGGGCCTTTGTGCGCTTGGTCAAAAGTTCCTTTGCGTTTGGCGCATGAACTTCGGCTGCACACCGTACCAAGGTGCGACCTGAATAGTCTCGCCAATCCTTAGATAAGCCAAATGCTCGCACGCAAGTTGTCAGCACGGAAATTGATATGCACAACAGCAATTCTGCACCCGTCCTGCCAGTTCTCACCCTCCTCAAGGTTGTCAAGAAGAGCCGCAAGACGCTCTGCATCGTCTTTCTTCACCTCAACTGTCTGTCACAATAAGTTTGTTCAAGGCATGATAAATCAGGGCTCCAGGATAAAGTAGAGTGCTCTTCTTACAAGATACCAGTTGGAAGGCATCTTTCTTCCTCTGTTGCCGTCGTTTCCGTGCCACGCCGGCAGCGCGCTCCTTGGGTGCGTGCAAGGTAGACAGGTAGAGGCTAGAGGTAATCACATACTGCCTTTTTGCAAGAGACAAGCAATGGCCTCCAACTTAAGAGCTACGGCCTCCAACCTGAAAGCGATGGCCTCCAACCTAATACTATCGGCTCCAGCCTAATAGCGATGGCCTCCAACCTAATAGCGATGGCCTCCAACCTAATAGCGATGACCTCCAACCTAATAGTGGCGGGCTCCAACCTAATAGCGATGGCCTCCAGCCTAATAGCGATGGCCTCCAACCTAAGAGCGATGGCCTCCAACCTAATAGTGATGGGCATGATGGGCTCCAACCTAATAGCGAGGGCCTCCAACCTAATAGGGAGGGCCTCCAACCTAAGAGCGATGGCCTCCAACCTACTGGCCACACCCATTCTGCCTTTTTGCAAGAGGCAATACTTGCAAGTAAGCCCAAGGATTTTCACACTGCACTCGGAAGTCTTGCTTAGGTGGCTAAAGCTTGTGCACAGGACCAGTTGTGCAACACGGAAAGCACACCCTGACTTCACATGAATGGTGAAACGGTTTGTGTTTGCAGTGTGCAGAATGTTATGCCATCACAAATTGAGTTCACATGGTTGCGGATAGAGCACTTGTGCATGTTCAACAGGCACTGCGCAAACTGTGCGGAAAATTATATACAAAGGCAAACTAGCAATCTGGCAGGAGGAGATGGGTTGAGCAGCAAGTACAGTATATAACCGTTGTGACACGCCATGAGTCCCCACCACAAAGCAGAAGGCAGAATTCTTCCAACACTTCCTCGTCAATGTAAGTATTGAACTCATATGCACCAAAAACAATATACTTCATGTTACTGCACAGGCCTCGAAAATGTTGTAGGTATGGTGGGTAAGAGAAGTTGCCGCGTTGATTTGTGGCTAGGAGGTCATCACTTGACACCGTGGCTCAGCTGATCACACTAGTAGCTTCCTTGCTATTACTTTACCACTGGCTACTTAAGTTTACCACGGCCTACCCCCTGTCCCACTCCAAAAAATGAAAATTTCTGGTATGCAGCATGTTTGAGTTTTTGAACAAACGATCATCCGGGCAAGTCTCTGGGAAGGCCGGTGGGCGAAAAATTGGTCGTTTGATCACGAATGGTTCTTGTGCGGCATTGTTTTTCATGAAGTGCAATGCGCTGACTTGGAAAGCAAGCCGAATAAATTTTGCAGAAACAATGTGGTCACGGTCGCACTAGGACTTCTTACGGTAGTTGTTAAAGCTCGGTTTGATCGAGGGTGCTCACATCAGTGGGCGGCAAATTTGATGACCCTTACAGCACATTCATGGCTCGGGACGCACGAAAACTGGTCCGGGGCGCGTGCTTTCCTCGACTGCACTCTCGTTGTCGTGCTGCACACATTTTGGTCGCTTTTCGTGGCAGGTGCAACTGAAGTCGACCTTTTCGGGTTCTTTTTCGGATTGGGAGACGCATCCTGCGAAAGCTTCGCGTTGGCATCTGGAATGTGTCTTGGGAAGTGTTTTTGTTGCAAATTGCACTGTCAGGGCTGCGTGGTGTGAATGAATGCGCACATTTCGCAGCAAACACAGCACTTTGTGAGCATCGAAGTGCAGATTTTGCGGCAGGCACAGCACTTGCGAATCAAAACCTGGAACTCATGGCAGGCGAGCACTTTATGAACCTCAAGTTTCGTGTGCTCATGTGTGCGTTTTCTGATATTTGTGTTCGCACATGTGTGCTCTCATGTGTTTGCTGTCATATGCGTGCTCTCATGGGTATGCTCACCTGTAACCTTACACGTGCTTTCATATGTGTGCATCTCATACGCGTGCTCTCACACGTGTGCTCTCATATGTGTGCTCGCATGTGTGCTCACATGAATCGCAAAGCGCCGGCCATGCGCGCGGAAAATGAATGCTGCTCCGGGAAGTTGTGCACACTGCCTTTGTTCTGCTGAACACTGTTTGGTGTCTCTTGATACGTGATGTGTGGTGAGGTGATTTTCTTGCCATGTTGTGATGTGCCCGGTGTTGTGATGTGAGGTCGCCTGCTCAGACCGCACAACCAACCTCGCAAAACAACCAGGAGCCCAGTCTACTGGCATCGCCTCCAAGACAACGAACCACTGTTGCTCTGCATGTGCTCTGGTCAAGTGTATGTATGTACTGGCTGGCTGGCTGGATGGATGGATGGATGGATGTATGTCTGTATGTATTTTTTCTGCGTGTCTTTTCCGTCTGCTGGCTTCATGCGGCTTCCTTTGGCCGAAAACACAACGGCAGCTGCGTCTGGTGATCCTTGGCACAGCTTTTCACCAAAGACTTGCTGGCGCTGTAGTGGCCGTCCTTGTTCACTGCAAAGGCCTTGCGCTGTTTGCAGTGTACTCGATTTCCTCGCCTTCACATGCTGTGCGCCCAGCTCTCAGGCGGGGTCCACGGGCTGTCCCAACATGTGGATGTTGCAAGCTCACGCAGCTTCTCTTTGGCCGAATGCTTCCAGATCCTCTGACGACACCGTCCACAGACAATGTAGTGCTTTCGGAGGGAGAAGGTGTGGTCGGCCATGTGCTCAAGCGTGCCTTCAAGCATCTGTTTCACAGGGGTGGCCTTGTCTGAAAACTCTGCTTTGCCTCCAACAACAGCAACGCTTGCCGCTTGTGGGCACTTGGCTGCGCTTGCATCTTGCAGCTCAGCTACCTTGTTGCGCATGGTCATCATCTCTTTGCATTGTCGGCATTTCATGCCTCTGCCTTTGGCCTCCCAGATTTGTCCTTCTGGGCTGGTTGGGAGAGAGAGCCGGAGGTAGGCTTCTTTCTTGTGTTCCCTGCCTTCAGCTCTCTTGATCTTGCCTGTTTCCCTTGCAGCATTCATGAAATGCTGTTTGTCCTCAAGTAGGTAGCGGATGTGTTGTATGGCCTGTGGGGCGATCCGCTTGTACTTGGCATCTTGTCGCGCCAACTCTTGCTCTTGGCTGATGGGTTGGAGCAACAAGGCTATTTCCTTGGCGGCCTTGCAGGCAACAGCTTGCCTGCGTCATAGGGACCACTCATGTTTGGGCATTTCCTTGAGCTGCTTGGGTGTAATACAGAGCACTTTGATGCGGCTTTTTTGATCCAATATGATGAGCTCCCGCAGATCATGGAAGACTTCAGCATTTTTGGCCTGCTGCCATGCTTCCCAAGCTCGAACGCTCTGGACATGGAGGGTGATGCGCTGCGGCAAGTCAACATAGTGTGCAACCATCCTGATTCCATAGAACCAAGCTCTCTCCCAGGTTTGTTTGCCTGGAAGTATGGCCACCACTGCCCCTTGTCGGTAAAGTTGCCCACCAATGTGTGTGTGATTCACTATGGCAACTGCAACGTGTCAAGCGGCTGTCTGTGGAGGCGCTTGCAATGCCAACGCTGACTACATCAGGGGCCAGGATGCGGGCTTCGTCATGAGTTGTCCAGGTTTCCCAGCCCTGTACTGAAGCTCCTCCAGTCGCGATGGGCATGGGTGGAATCATCAAGAGTCCCTGGGCCCAAAACTCAAGGTTGGTGCCATGTTCAAGCTCAAATTTGTCCTTAGTGGTGAGCGCAGGAAATCTCTTTTGCGTCTCCTTGCATAGCCAAAGCAGGTGCACTGCTGTGGCTGGCTGCCCGCAGTGCGGGCAGGTCAGGTGTTGCCCATCTTGTCCATCACTCATCTTGGTGCAGATGGCACCTTCACGCCACGTTTGAAGGGCTGTGGCATTTTGAGTGTTCAAAGTCCTGTTCATGCGCTCCCATGACTTCCAATCCAAAGGTCTGTGGACTTCTTGTAGCATGGATCTGGAGCTGATGCGCTGCAGCCTATCACTCTTTTCCGCCCTCTTGAGCTCAGCCTTGATGGTGAGCCAGGAATCGCGCGCGCTCAATTGGAACTCTGGTTCATCATTGGGCGCAGGTTTGGTCCACAGTTCCAATTGTTCAGCATGCCATCCATGATCACGAGGGTAGCGCTGCAAGGCCGCTACCTTGCCAATGATGCGCTGCTTTGGTGGTGCGCCCAGGCACGCTCAAGGTCCTTCCTCAGTGCTTCTGGCCATTGTCCAACAAAATGTCGGAAGATCTTGACCTGATCGTGGAAGGCTGCAGTATCCGGATCTTGGCGTTGGCTTTTCATGGCATAGACAATGTCCAAATTTCCAGTCCTCTGAAGTCCAAGCTGTCTGCCCATGGCGGCTTTCAGCCGTGCTCGATGCTGTGGTGCCAATCCCGGGCCTTGCTTTGGGAGCTGCCCGGAGAGGAGCTTCTTGGCAGCGCTGTTTGCGACAATGAACCCTGTCTTCTTGGCCGAGATGATCAGGTTGTCCTCTTCCAGCAGCTTGCGGATGTAGTTGAAGGCCGCAATTGCGACGCGGACCGCATTGGCAGGATCTCGGTCCACAGTGTCGAAACTGAGGTCGTCTATCCAAAGGTCGACGTGAAGTTGCGGATACTTTTTGCTGAAGGCATGAAGCGCACGATGGAGGTAGATCTTGGCTGCAAGAGGCGCTTGCGGATCTCCAGCCAAAATCCCGTTGGCTGTCCACAGAGGCCTGGAGGCCTCACTCTCTGCCTCAAGGACGCGGGAGCCACAATAGATTTGCATGGCCAAAGCCGCATGAGTGGCTGGATAGTCAGAGTCCAACCATCTCTCACTCAGCTTTTCAAGATCAATGCGGTCATAGAAGTTCGACATGTCAAGCAGGACCGAAATCACAGTTCTCTGTAGAGCTTTGTGATGTTCTGTCGTGAAAGCTCTCTTCAAAGCCACGTTTAGGCATTCAGTGCCTGGGACAACCCTTTCCCAGACATAAATGCCACGAATGCTATGCTGCAATTGCTGCGTGTAGGTGGCCCGAAGCTTGCACCAAAGCCGGTACAATGAAGCAACCAAGGCAATGGGTCTCTCGATCTCGGCGTTTTTGGGCAGCAGCGCAATCAAGGAAGTGGTCCGTTGATTGGGCACAGTGGCCTGAGCTCAGGCATGGCTTGGTAGGGCAGTTCTTTGAAGTAGTCATAGCCGACAGCGTCCAGACCAGGCGCTTTCTGGCTCAGGGTCTTGATGACCGTCCAGACCTGATGGACTTGGAGTGGATGGAGCTCCTTGGCATGCGCTTGTCCTTTGTGCACTAAGGCCTGCAAAGTGCGTGGCTCACTTGGCTGTTCTCTTTGATGCCAAATTTTGCTCCATTGCTGAATTCGCATTTCCATGCGCTCCTTTGAAAGGGTCGAGCATACGGCGTCTCATCCTTCTTTAAAGTCCTGTATAGCGCTGCATTCATCCAGTTCCTGTATTCTTGCGCCTCCGTGTGGAATACAGTGTCGTGGCGCAGGGCCCATTGAGTTTTGACAAACTTCAAAAGCACTCGGATGTGCTCATTGTCATGCTCTGCCCATAGCATATTGTACAGCAACATGAAGCCGTCCAAGGTGACTGTGTCATCTGGATGCCAATGTTGAGGAACGTGCCATCCAAGTTTCTCAAGGTGATGCAGGTCTGCTTCAGCTTTGTTGGAGATGAAGATGCTGCTGGAGGCGAAGTTCAATCTGTGACCAGAAGGCCAAAACACCTTTCCTCCATAGCCATGGTTTGCTAGGGTCGGCAAGAGGTTTTTGGACATAGTTGAGCTTTGTGCCTCGTGTGGGCTTGTCCAAGTTCTGCAAGACATAGCGTTCGATTTTGTGGTATAGCTGGCCGGCCTTCTGGCTGAGAGTGTTTGTGCCCGACATCTGTAGTCTCAAGTTGCGCCCACTCGGTCTGTATCTTCTGGAGCTTGGGTGCCGGCTGATACCTCTGGATCTGTTGGACAGTGATGCGCGCAAGTTCTTTGGCAAGATGTACGTGAAGTTGATCATGGGGCTTAAAAGGGACAATCCAGTCAGCCGCTATTGCGACGTCAGCAATTGCTGACTTGCATCACTGTACTCATAGTGGTCGCCATGAACTCCTCAGGCGTGATGTTGAAGTCTCCGATCACTATCACCGGCTTTGCTAGGCCAGCGACGAAGGTCACGACCAGGTCAAAGTTTTCAAAGGTCCAGTGCACTGCATACCATCCACAGCCATCAATGAGCTGCTTTTGTACAAAGTGGATGTGAAGGTGAGTAGGGTACAAAAGGATCATGCCTCCATGAGTGCCTTTTTAGGGCTGACAGCTGCTTCTTGTCCAAGGACACCAAACACGAGTTGCAAACCACGAGCGCTTTCTCATGATCGTTAGGTCCCAGGCGGGTCTCAACAAGGAAAATGCCTGTCCCTACCAATAAGCCATTGTCTGACAGCTTGTCCCAGGTGAGTGACGTTTGCAAAAAAGAAACCAACTCCTTCCAGACATCTTCGTTTGGCTGTGGCTACAGGGGCATGTGGAGCCGCCCTTGTAGTTGGAATGTCACTCGGGATGTCAATCGGCAAGCTCTTCTTTGAGGGAATGGCCCAAACCTGCGCAATCTAGGATTTCATCGCGTCCTGCAGTTGAGGTAGTGGCCTAGGGAAAGATCCATCATCAACTGACCACAGCAAGCCTCTGTAGCAGAAGACCGCAAAGAAGTGTCCACTTTTGCGCGCTGTGCCAGAATGGCATAGGAGGCCAACAACTGAGTATTGTTCAGTTCAAGTCGCCTTGCCATCATAAGTGACTGGGAGGTTGAACACTGATGGCACATTCAGCAATTGGTGGCGCTTTGTCCATTCACCTTCAAGGAACGAGTATCGTCCAATCTGGGCTACCCAAAGCCCTGTGCCGTCAAGCACTTGTCCTTCTGCTGTGTTGGCCCATTGATTGATGAGCTCCTCAAACTCTTGCGGGCTGCGCTTGTTCTCAAAGATCAGGTGCGTAGGGAATTCTCTTCTTTTGTGTACTGTCTGCCTGTGATCCACATGAAAGTGATGTGTGATCACACTTGCTGGCTGCGCAAGGTCCACCATCTCGGTGAGAAAATGAGCAGCATCATCTTGTACGGTGTCATCGAATTTGGACCAAAGTGGTCGCAGGGTGCTCAACTCTGTGAGTTGCACCGCGTCGTCAGCTTGCAACGTGGCTTGGACTGCAGTTGCAGTCTTGCGCCACATCTGCGGGCCGGCAAGAAAGCCCATAGTCGGAAAGGTGCGTTGGCGTAGCATCTATTCCTTGGATTTCCCAGCCTGCACTGGAGGTTCTGCATGACATAGTCTAAAGCGCTTTGCCCTTGCAGTTGCTCCGAAGGCTGGTTCATGTCATTTGCTGCAAAATCATGCGCTGAATCCATGTCTTCATCAGCATGGTCTCCCAGCACCCCCACAAAAGGCCGGGACAGCAGGGAGCAATCCCGTCATCATCACTCCATTGGCGGGCGATGGTTCCCAGTCAGCTGCCTCTGTGTCTCCTTGAAGACAGTCTGAGCCAAAAAACTGCATTCACAGGCTCCATGTTGACATCAATGTCCCCTTGATGCTTGCACAGAGTCTGTTTCTCAACCCCGATTTGTTCAGCACCCTGAATGCTGTTACCCACACTTCCTGCGCTTCGTGACGCCAAGCTTTTTGGTAAATTCCTGAATCTGAGTTTGGGTGGCATTTACACCCACACTGGCCATGATGGTCATGATGTTCTCCGGCGTGAGCTCATCTGGATCCACATTGGCGTCATCACTCACTTGTTTCTCTTTCTCAAGCTGCTGGTTGTAGAGCTCCGTCGTCTGCTGAAGCTCTTTCTGCGCCGCCTCAATCTTGCCCTGCAACTCCTTGAGCTCTTGTAGAAGAGAAGTGTATTGACTCTTCACAGCATCTGCTTTGGCCTGAATTGCAGATTTTCGATCTGACAATTGCCGTAGGGCTCCAACCGATTGCTTGAGCTTCGTGGCAGGGGTGGGCTCTGGCTTCTCTGGTTCAACAACCTTCTCAACTGCAGCCTTGAGGTCTTGCGGCAGACTCTGAAGATGCTCTTTGATGAGAGACGGAAGATCCGGAGGAGGTGGAGGCTCCGCCACAAAATCTCCAAGTGCCTCACACTGAGATCGAAGTCCTTCAGGAAGCTTGTCCCAGTGTTTTTGCACCGCTTTGCAAAGTGCGGTTTGCTTCACTTTCTTGGCCTTCTTTGTAGGTTGTCCACCGTGAAGACCAGGAGGGGCATCAAGCAGAGCGGCCTTATAGGTCTTGTGTGGCCATGTAGCCCCATCTCTGCTATAGTTCCACTGAGCCCATGTGACCCTCCTTTTCCTTTCCAGATCTGGGAGTGCTCTTTGCCATGGCACAGTGGAGATCGATGCTATGAGTGGAGCCACAAGCATTTACACGAAACAATCTTCTAGTGTCTAACAGCGCGGCCCTCATGAACACCAGATTTTCGAACATGTACGGCGAAACAATATGGAGAGCAACATTCACGTCCTGTGTGGTTTCAGTATTGATTGCATAGGGGGAGGAAGAAGCTACAGTAGATTCTCGTCACAAACACTGGGGTGGGACAGCGACACCCAAGATGGTGCATCGCCAAGAGATCTCTGCAAATGGGCTGTTCAGGTCTCCACTCTTCTCTACCTTCCTTTGGACGTTTACCCAACACACGTGTGTTCCAGCACTTCCCCGATTCCCAAAAACCAACACCGACCAAATGCCCCGGCGGCCAGCCTACCACTTGCCCTGCGCACAGATCTATGTCTGCATTGAGACACGCAGCCATGTCTGCATTTGTGTACACGTGAACAAGCTGTTAGCAACTTCAACCTTTCACTTGTGGTGCAGGGGTGGAAGTATTGAAAAGATTTGAAAAGTATGTATAGGATAACAAAAGGCTACATATGCAAAGAGTGACATAGTGTATGTGCAGGATAGATGCACTTCAACTTGGCGTACTGATCCAACAGAGAGATGCTTTCGGCAGATGCAAGGTGTACTTGTTGGATCTTGTTGTTGCCAAGTGTACAAGTATGTGTTGCACAACGCAGCATGTATCGCTGTTCCTGCCACAACGCTTCAGCTTGAGTTCAGCATGTCCTCTGGACTCATCATTTGCAACTCCAGGAGCTTATTCTGCGCTTTCAAAATGTCCTGAAAACAACCACATAGCCATTAAAGGACAAAAAGGCCTAAGGGAGGGTTCCAATAGTATTGTTGCAAAATGTGGGTAGCAAGAGGTTTTGAAAGAAGAATCACCAACAACGAATGCGTTGATCCTTTTCTCATCAGCTCAGGGCCTCATCATCCACTTCAGACTTTTGGGCTGCCAAAATTGCCTCTTCCAACATGTCCTCTTCGGCCTCAAGAGATCTAAGGACCAAAATTCAAACTCATTCAGTAAGCCATGCGATTCATGCTGTCAAAATTCCAACTCAAACAGAAGAAGCCAAAAGCCGTGCAAAGCTGTGCAGGCATTCTGATTCCACCTTGTCAATGGCGTGATGAAGTTGTTCGTAAGCAGCACGCCTGATTCCAGGCAGTGATTCTGATGATTTCTGCATCCAAGAGTAGACTTGCGAAGAATTTGATCTCAGCTGCAAAGAAGCACCTCTCCCGAGACTGCTTGTGGTTCAGCTCTCGGCGAGCTTCACTAAGAACTGCCTGCAGTTCCCAGTCACTCTTGTCCAATATGTTTCTTGGCATCAGGGAAACTCACAGCAAGGCTAAGTCAACAAGTCTGTTCATCGACTCAAGCCAAAGCTGCACATCGGGTCTCTGTTGAGATTGTTAATTTACATACAGTAATTCTTTGTCCTGACCTCAACACTGGCAATAGCACCCCGAAGTTCATCCGCAGTGGCAGTTGCGCTGGTCATGACCTGGAAGCCACAAGACCCACCTTTTGAGAGTAAAAGTTGTCATCAGTCTTTACTCAAGGCATGCCATCTGCCTGGAGATCTAGTGCCAATAACTCGATGCTCGATTAGGATGCTGCTTATCTGATTGTGACTGAGCACACCACAGCACGCAATCTACTTTCAGAACCCTCTTTCTGTGCCTCGCAACTAAAAAAAAATCACGTCATGTGAGAACCGGCCTATGCAGCGCTTGGGGGGCGGAATCGGTGGGGACTGGAGGAGCTCTTGGTATTTCTTCAACCTGTCAGACCTTTCACCTTGTCTACCTACAGACAACTCCCAACCTATGTGTGCCTTGGCCTTAGCACCTTATCAAACCAGTGCCAATCACAGGTGGAGCTACCATGTATAGTAACCGCTCCAGTCAGCATGCCAGCTCACTCAAAAGCAATCCAATCTTCTTAAACCAGCACCCTTTGTCGAGAAGAAAAGTAATATCGAGTGAAATATTGGACATTCTTTCATGTGGTGCCTGCGAAGCCTGTCGGCAGATGTCCCGTTCAAGAGGTTCAGCAAAAACGATAAGGAAGGAGGAAGGAAGGAAGGAAGGAAGGAAGGAAGGAAGGAAGGCGTTATATATATATATATACATATGTATGTGTGTCTTTGCAAAAAAAACACTTGAATTCAATCATGTCCTTCGATCTCTGCCTTTTTGAGATCCGAATTCTCCAGTTTGAGGCGATGAACTTCCGCTTCAAGTCGGCTGATCCTGATACAAGAATGGGACTATCAATAGCAATGTGCACTCTCAATCAGCACTTTCCAGAGCTAGAGGCATAGATGTGGCACGCGGCATGCGGCTGGACACACAGTTGAGCTTGCTTGGAGCGGGGCTGAACATCATGAACATCAATATCCATCCCTCCTGGGCAAAAAACATGACAACATTTCGGAACTGCCGAAGCGTCCAAACAAAAGCGTCATGTGCCTTGGCCGCGAGCATTTACCTGGCAAATATGTGTGGCGGGTCGTGGTCCAAAGCAAGTTGCAAACGCGCGCGTCCAGGCTCGGTGTCCGAGGAACTTCTTCTGGTTGGTACCATGCGTCCTTGCTCCTAGAAGCTTCTTGCTCCTAGTAGTACGGCCAGGAGCGCCTAGTAGCGTCCTTGCTCCTAGTAGCGATGCCAGGAGCCCCTAGTAGCTTCTATTGTCGCTTCCCTCGTTTTGATGCTTGCCTTGGACGGACTCGCTCTGTCCTGCATGTGGGTCATGGTCCAAAGACCTCCAACTGTATGACCAAGTAGTGCTTGACCCAAGAAAGAACAGAGTACTAATTAGGAGTTTTCCACAAACAGCACAGTCCCTGCAGAACTGGCATGGTCCTCACCCTGCAATCCAGACCAAATGTCCACTGCGCTAAATTCTGCACCTAGAGCACTTTGCTGTGAATAAAACAAATGACCAAGCAGCAAACAAAAGCGGCCACCTATGTGGAAGAAACTATATAGCCGTTAATAACCGTCATAATATTCAATGTAACGGTCAAAGAGCATTACATAATCAGTGTGGCATTGTGCATCAAAGCACCCGCAGTTTTCCTGGTGTTGTCATGGTGCCAGCAACTCTGTGTCTGCTGACTTGGGAACCAAAAAACACCAGGTTGCCAAGTCAACAAGTCTCTGCCTTCAAGATCTCCAAGTGCACATGTGTCTCTTCTTTCCTCTTCCTCCTCCTCCTCCTCCTGATTCTCCTCTTTCTCCTCCTTCTCAACCTTTTTCTTTCCCTGCTTTTTGTTCCGTTCTCCTGACTCTATAGACTTGTCCAAGAGCAAGCTGTTCGGGGCACTCCTGGCATGTCATAGCACCCACTCTGCAAGCGCGGAAACAGCTGTGCTTGCCAGTTCTGCCTCTGTTCGTGCTCTCAACGAAAGGAACAAGCAAGTTGGAGACTATCAAGTCTCAAACACATGCTATGAATTGCTCCTACTAGCTGCTGCTGCTGCTGCAACCGATGATAGCTGATGCAATAATTCTGCAAATTTGCGTTCTTCAAGTTGGCTTTCGGATACAGAGAGAAGGAAATATACTAAGAATGCAAAGCTTACCCGCTTTACCCTTCCAAGAAATACAAGCACAGAAAGCAGCAAACGAACTCATGGTTATGCGCAATAATGCAAACACGGCGGCTCTTGTGTCCCACCTGTTGCGTTCAGGGCTGGCCTGTAGAAAGAAGTATATAGAGCAGAAACAAATTAACTCAATCTAGTCTTAAGCAGTAGTGTGTTGTCTGCAGCGAGCGCTGAACCAAACGCGACTGTATGAGAGAACAACGTTCGACCGATCACTTAGACTTAGACACCTCTGTCACCTTTCTTGAATAATGAATGCTTTTTGGAAAGATGCCAAAAGCTACGTTCCTTTTGCCAACTCGGAAACTCGAGTTGCGGTGGCAAAACTTAAGCCCTTGAGCCTGCGAGCGTAGGGAAGCAAGCAGTGACCTGAGAAGCTTTTTCGAGACGTCACAGTTCATACTTCTTCTGGCTAAAGCCACACAAGGTGTTCCAAAGACTTTGGTGTTGCACATGACAACTACCTTCAGGATCCATTACCCGTTCGCCACCATCTCAGGGACCTTGACTTCGACGTGGGAGATGCTCTGTGCATCGCCTTGAGAGAGAAAAAGGATGCCGTTTTGCCATGCTGGGTCCATCTAGCTTGGCCCGGTGAGTCTCCTTGTCTCTTAGTTCACAATCAAAGGGATGACAGCTGCCGTTGGGAAAGGATCCAAAGTGTATCTTATCATTAGTTCTTGTAAACTAATTTTCCTATGACACATCTTGACACCCGTTTGCCTTTGCGTGCTGACAGCTGGGGCCTCTTTCACCGGACGCGTCTGGTCATTGCTTGCTTGAAGCGATTGGCCAATGCTTGCTGCAATGCTTGCCCGTACCTCAAGAGTTCACTTGGACGTTGGCCTGCTATGGCATCTATGGCGATTGATAATTCAATCAATCAACCCATTCCACCCATAAGAGGCAGGAAAGTAGCTGCTCTTCCCTGTGTCTCGCACATGTGGCGGCAACTTCGTTCTGCTAGGAGTGGGAACACTCAGGATCACGGGATTCCTTGGTTGGCGCTGCATGCGCAGCCTGAACTGCAAAAGCCGAAAACATGCAACAATGGAGCTTTCTATTATGGCCTGGATCAATACAAGTCGCACATGCAGGTAATCTAATGAGTCTCAAAACTGGGGTCAAAACTGAAACAGCAGTGTGTAGAGCAGTTTGTCCGCCTCACTATCCCCGCAAGAGAATTCCAAACAGTGCGAAATATATACATAATGCGAAATAGAACAAGAGAAGGGCGAATAAACGACAGCGCAAACATGAGAGCACACATACAAGCATAGAGCACAGGCAAGGGAGAACACACAGGTGAGAGCACACACATGAGAGCATACATATGAAAGAGCACACAGGTGAGAGCAAACACTCGAGGTTCACAAAGTGCTGTGTCTGCTGCGAACTCTGCATCTCGAGGCTCGCAAAGTGCTGTCCTGCCACGAAATGTTCACTTCGAGGTTCCCAGCGCCTGCCACGAAATCTGCGCAGCGAGGTTCACAATGCGCTGCACCCGGCACTTCGAGGTTTACACAGTGCCACACCTGCTACGAAATCTGCACTTGGCGGTCCACATGACAAAAGTGTGCCACGAAATCTGCACACCATGGCTCACACCGCACAGCCCTGCCCTTGTGTTTCGCAACAAAGCACTTCCAAAGACAAGTTCAAAAGGTCAATACGAAGATGTCGCGCGATGCTGCTCCCAAGTTCTGGCTGAAAACGAGCCGCATGTCCAAAGTTCACGACGCACTGCACCTGCCACAAATTCAGAGCGGGCCAAAGACGACCGCCAAGTCCAAAGCGCCTCGCCTGCACGAAATCTGCGTGCAGCTCCAATCTCTTACATATCTTGCATGCGCCACGAAAAGTCGACTTTAAACACCAAAACACGAGGATTCCCTCGCGCCTGCCACGAAAATTGAGCACCAAGTCCGAAAATGCGCATGGCACCACCACAACGACCCCTCAGTTTCTGGAAGCACAGCCAAGATGCACTTTGAAGATCTCGAGGCATGAATGTGTCGAGAATAGTCAAATTGGCCGCGCGTCGGTGAGTACCCTTGATCAAACCCAGCCCCAACAACTATCGTAAGAACCCTTAGTGACCACACTGTTCAGGGAAAAATAGTTTTGCACTGGTGTTGCTTTGATTCCCACTAGGCTTCGCAGAAACCAAGAACCAATGTTTTTCCATGGTGGCTCACATCCCTTTCCCAGGCCGGCTGAATTCGAAGCTTACCCTCAGAAATTGGACACAAATCACTTTGGTGGGATTCACATAATTCAAACTTTGCAAGTCATTTCCTCGGGAGGTTTCTCAACGAAGCCAACAAGTTGGAAGTAATTGAGCTACATACATGCACATTCTTGGAACACTCCAAGCACTTTGCCAAGCTAGCTGTGCATCTATACAAGTCATGTGTCTTGGGCATCCTTGACATGTTGTTTTTTGAATGGAGGATCAAAGCTGAAACAATTACACTTGCATTGCATCATGTCTACGGTGGTCATTCATGGTCTGTGAATGTGCCAATTGAAAGGCTATCCGTGGCTATCCAGTGATCATGGGTCTGTCTTTCCAAACGCTTGCTGCCGAAACAATGCAAAATCTGTGTCACTTCTTCTCCTCCTGTCTTGACTGTCTGGAGAACAGCTGTCTAGATAGACTAGACCATCTGTGACAAAGGTTCAACGAAAGTCAAATACGATGACAACTATTGCCTGCTGTGCGTTCTCCTGTCGGTGGGGGTGTGCTTGGCCAATTTGGACCCTAGCTTTTGCAAAGTAGTTATCATTTGGCATCCGGTTTGAGGCTGTTCAAGCAACATGGCTAGAGTCTTGGTGAGCCCAATAGAGATGGTCGAAGTCCGGCCCGAATCGCCTCAAACAAGTACGAAATTACTAGTTGCAGGCCAAGCACAAGAAAACACATGTGTGCATGAACATTCCTGGAGGTTCTTCCACGGAAACCAGACTTGAAGCAGCTTGCAATAGAGAAAAATTAGACAGATGCAACAGAGTGCACCCCCAAAATAAGGAACACTAAGATCATGCCTACTGTGGCGCAGCTTGCCTTCAGAGTTTCATTGATTTCATTCTCCAACCTGTTCCCAGCCTTACAAAAAAAACACAGCAATCTTCCACTGTTTGCTCACTATTCAAGCGCACAGGCCCAACATCTTCCAAAACTCGCACCACTTGATCTACTAGTGTGAACTGATGACCTCCGAGCACTTCAATCCACTGGCGATCCGGCTTTGAGGACCTCATCTCGTGTTCTCTTTGCGCAATCCTGCACATCTCGGACAAAAATTGAAGAAATGCAGGTGGATTTGAGCCAACACCACTGCTGGCAATGCGCCTTTGGTGGGGCCATTTGATCTGAGTCAAACGTGCAAGCCAAACAGAAGTTTGTTTGGCTTGCACAAACCTGTCCTTTCGAGGAACTGTTTATTTTCGTCTTGATTCATCTGAGATTCGTAGGAAGTGGCGAGGTAAGATTTGCAATTTTGCCGACACGCCATTAATTACATATATATATATATATTTATTTATCTATACAGAAATCGGAGCGCGAAGGTCCGTTGCAGACTTGCCTTGGAATGTGCCTCTGCAAAAATTGTGTTACAAGAGCTTGTCTGAGAAGGTTTGATCAAAAACCACTGTTCCCAGCCCAGCAGCCTCACATAGCTGCGAAACTTCAGTAATGACGCCTCTCATGTCTATGTCTGGAGGCCTGTCATGTCAAGGCATAACCCGTGCAAGACCAGCGCTCTCAAGTCCACGTTAACTCACTTCGTCTTCGGAACTTAGTATGCTTACTCTATGCACTCTATGCTAAATTTCACCATTTTTCCTGGCCTGTTGGCTTGGAAAACCATTTTTGTGCGGCAGCTGGTGGCTGCAGAGTGAAGGCCCCTGCAGGTGGAATTTGATCTGTTTGCGCAGTGTGATGCAGTCGGATTACATAAGAGCTTCTTGCTTATGTACCAAAACACAAAGTTTCCCACATAATCTCCCAACCAAGCTCCAAAAGATGTGCGGAACCTTTTCTCTCAGGAGCTGAGTTGTTCATGGGCCTTCTGACTGCCCTCAATCGCTCACATCTCTGGGTGTTCAAACTGATGTGTGTTAGGCAGAATCTCTCACCCGATGCCTGAGCCACCCTGCCTGGCCTGCTCAGGGCCAGCAGCGCCTGGAAGCACCGACCGGATCCAGTCACGGGATCTTGGGTGGGTAATGCGTCACGAAAAGTCCGCCGTCAGGAGGCCTCCCAAAGGGAGAATTGAAAAATGTCAGCGGGCGTCTCCAATCGGAGAGCCGGGTCGAAACCCTCAAAATCCGGATGAGTGAGTTCACCCGCACAAGTGTTATATTCTGGAAGTATGTGGCTCAAAGCCAGGCTACATCCCTCGTGGTGCAGCAGCAGCAGCGCCAGCAGCAGCAGCAGCACCGGCAGCCGGAGTTGTTGCTCCCCACAACATCTTTCAAGGCAACAATGGCACCTGGTCAGCGCACCAGCCTCCAACATATGCTTCGCTTCGCATGTTAGGGAAGCGCTGGCATCACTACATCCCCACCATACAGGCTTGGGGAGTACTGCTCAAATGGGAGGGCTACGGATGGAACGGGCGATGGCTTGAGTGACAAGGATAAGCCCGCTGGAAGCTGCCCCACCAACTTGTTGTAGACCACCAAGTCGCCACGCAAGACGTCCAAGTCCAGGCAAGGCGATGCACTCATCACACATGGCCCTGAACCGGGGCCTCCTTGGAGTCGTGGATGGCCGCAAACACCATGACCCGGGAGTTGGTCATGAATCTTTTTGTAGTCAGGAAGCTATCCATCTCGCAGCTCCCACCGTCTTGTCCCACGCAGTGCAGCAGACTGCCCTTGCCACGGAGGGCGGAGATTGAGTATTTGGAGTTCACCACCCGTGGGAGGCTGCACCACAGGGTGTAGGAACACAGAGACAAAAGATAGAGGGTTCGAAAGGGTGGTGTCAACATGTTGCGGATTGATTGGCAGCTGTGTGGTCTAGGCGCAGAGAGCGCATGCGGCGTGTGGCACAATCCAACCACCATGAGCACCATCTCTGCGTCTCCAACCAGGATCTGTGTGCGGTTCAGGCTTGCGGTAAGTAGGGGCATCCAAAGCAAAGGGAACCAGTCAAAATGAAAGGAAAGGTGCCTAATTGCACTTCCTATCTTCCTAGCCTTTCAGCTCAGGGTCTATATGGCCGAAAGGTAAACGCGGCGGCCTCTGGCATGAAAACCCATATGCATTCGCAAGCCTCCAATCTTTTTGTGGGCTTCAAGCCGGTCTGCGTGTTCGAAGTTCTGAATTCACCCAACGTATTCCGTCGCCTGGAATCGTGCGCCGGAGGGCGAAAGCTCTTCGCATGCATGGCCACGCGCTCACCTGGACCGAAGTTCTCTTTGTAATGCCATCCAGGTGAGAGCGCATGTTGAGTCTGTCAAGAGGTCTGCATCCTTCTTGCGCTTCGAAGTCTGGCGAATGAATTCAGGCTGATACTCAACGGCCAGCTGTCCTCGTCGCTGTCTGTCGAGGTCCAGCGGTATTTGTTCGCGACGCTCAACAGGAGGGGTTTCTGATTCCAAATCCAACGTCTGAAGTGGCAAGCAGTCCTTGAGTCCTTGGCATCAGTGACACCTCTTACTCTGGCTGATCCGTTCTGCTTCATTGCAATCCTAGCACCTAAGTCGAAGCCTTTGGTCTTCGTCAGGTCGATCGAAGACAACCACCAGGTCACAGTCCTCTTGAACTCTCGTAAGCTGTCTGCACGGCTCCAGGCGCGGGTTGAGGGGTCGAAGCCCGACTCTGACCAGCCACCTGCACAGCCATCTCCCTTCTCATCCGGCACTGGTCCTGCGCGCGCGAAGTTCAACGCGTTCAAGTCGTCCTCTTTCTGGCTCTCGACTGAGCTTTCGGCCAAGATCGGGTAGCCAAGATTCTTGGAAAGGCCAAGGCAAAGGCAAAGTCACCCACGCACACCACAAGCGTCTCTGTGGCCGGCAAGGTGACCTCAAAGAAAGCTGTAGGGACTGGCTCCACAGGCAAAGCAAAGAGGGCTCAAAGAAGGTCACGGGGAACGTCACGCACAAGCCGCACAAGCTCTGCGCAACCACTGCGATAAGAAACGGCATCCAAAGCAAAGCCAACGAGTCGAAATGAAAGGTGCCTACTTCATGTTCTCCGCTAGCAATTCAGCTCAATATGGCCGCAAGGTAAACGTGGCGGTGTCTGGCATGAAATCCATATGCATGACAGAAACAGCTATCTCAAGGTTAGTTCAGTTTAGTTTAGTAGTGCGAACAACGGTTGTGATGAGTTCGTGGCATAGAGATTGCTGTCCTGTTCCAGTCAACCCTTGCAACATGGGGCTAGATGCAGGTGCATGCGGAAGCCAATTTCCAACCATCTTTTTGGTCTCTTCCTCTGCTGGTCCAATCAAAAACCAAGCCACTGGCCCTGTGTGGCTGTTGGGTAGACTTTTCTTCCAACAGAGTGACTGAAAATCGAACCAGCGGCTGTTGTAACACAAGCTTGATCGACACCTCTTCCCGCCTCAGCGCTGGGGGTGCTCGAGTACACTCTTCCGAGCCGTTGCGCACAAATAAGCAACTCTGGCGACAACTGCAACAAGCACTTTCACTTCCTTAACCAGTATGGCCCATCCTTCGGTCCAAACTCCGGCACGTCTGCCTGTCGCCTCAAGTTTTGCTTTCAAGCGCCATGTTGTGGCTCCCAATTCTGGGGGCTGGAGGTCATGGTGAAACACTGTACAAGACGCAAGCGGAGATATCACATGTTGTTGCCATGCTGCAGCAGGTTCCCATCGTAGCTGGTGACGTCCAGAACGGTTCTTGCAATACTCTGCATGTTTGGTTGTGTGTGTGTGTGCGTGCATGTGTTGTGCGCGCCTGAAGCAGTCACATACTGGAAGCAGCCTGCGCACGGAAAAGCTCAGCGTGCATGTTCATCATCTGCATGGATAAGCCATAGGTGAATCAAAAACTTTCATCCACAGGGTTGTCAGAAGCTCCACCAGAAGCGACTCACCCGATCACCGCACCTACTTGTTAGTTCTCTCACGAGGCTGTGTTTCTCGATCACCATCCAAAAGCGCAGACATCTGTCAAGAGCGCATGCAGAACCAACTTAAACAAGTGTTTCTTTGCGTTCAAACCCTCAAGATTCATGGTGAACGAAGGGCATGAGGCCCCCCACTTCAGCCAACGCTTGGCTGTACATGTCCAGGCTGCCATTGTAGAATCGCGGCCGATGGTTCTCAGTCAGTCAGTGTCAAGTCTCAATGCACCCAATTCCAAGTCTTTGGAAGACTATCCGTAGGCACATCATACTCATGTACGTGACTATTGTTGTTGACAAGCTGTCGTTTCTTGAGATGGAATAGACAAATTCCAAGGCTACAAAAAGCATCGTTTTTACTTAAGCTACCGAACAATCTTGGGGGCCCTGCCGCTGTGGACAATGCAGCGGGGCCTTCTTTGTCATAGACTTGGAGATACCAATCTCCTCAATTCAAGATTCAAAATTAATCAGGCCTCTTTGTCCATTCATAGATTGTATAAATCAAGCAATGAATCTGATTGTCTGCAAACTGCCATTGAGCTGGGAACGATCAACATGCGACTGACTGGGAGACCTTCCGAATCCAGCAACATCTTGACGGGTCCAAATTTTCATCAGCAACGCACAGGAAAAAGCATACTTGCTTGAAGGATCTTCGTGTTCAGCCTGAAGAAAGCTTGCCGCCGCCGGTGCGCCAAGGCACCGGGCTTGCCACCACCCACACGCAGCGAATCACCCTGGTTGGCAGTTTGGATTCCAAACATTTCTTCTTTTAAAAAGCCATTTACAAAGTGCACCAAGCGCTTGACTGTAGGGAGGCGTGAGCTGGAAGCAGAACGTGGCCTTAAGAATTTCAAGACCGTGTTTTGCGCACGAAACTTTGTCAAGATCTTACGATGCCAAACGTGTACTTAGAACGTTTGTTTAAATGCTGGGCGTCCAGGCTGCGAGACCACCGTTTTCTGGGTGCTTTGGGACTGAAGAAGGTGAATCACTGAAGTCAAAGCCAATCAGCCAATGGCCAAAAAAAATGTGGTTTGTCTGTGGCTGTCTGGCTTTCAGCAACCTGCCTTCGCTGTGCTTGGCAGGGTGAAGCAACTCCTTGTGTCCTCTGACGCTACACTCTTCCTGGCACAGCACCGGTGCCATGGATGCGGACTCAGCCTATGAGAACAAACAAGAATTTAAGCCAACCACTCATCGACCGCACTCAGTGCCATCTCATACAGGAGCCGCTTCGACCTTCAGGCCAAACAGCTGCTTGCAAAGAACAAAAGCTGGAACTGTAAATATGCGCACATTCCGCCTTGGGTGAAATTCATCACGGTAGGGGAAGTATTCATGCCGGGCCTAGCGCTCTGCATGGTGTCCGAGTAATAGAGTCCACAACCACTCAACAACAAGTGCATCGTCCACCAGCTGAGAATGTAGCACTGTATCAAACACGTCGTACGGTTGGCTAAGTCCACTCTTCTTGCAAACAAGACTATGAATAGTTCTTACTACTGCGTGAAAGTGCGACAAGGTGATTTCAGCAGGTGATGCAAGTGGTTTCAGAGCTCACCGGTCTGCCAGTTAATCCTTGTTAGTAGCACTCCCAGAAGGAACGACGGGAGGCGTGCTAGCGTGAGACCTGCTACTTCTACAGTGCTACTTCTACATCTGCTATATCTAGACTTGCTATTTGAAGACCTGCCTTGCGCACATGTTGAAGACCTACTACACCACACGCGACATGGACATCTGCACATGTATATTCTTGTTGGTCTTGCACGTGTGGACCTGCATATAGTTTAACTTGTAATCTTGCATGTGTAAAAGGATCTGAAAAGAATATTGCCTTTCTTATCTTCTTCTCTCTATACACCTCCAACGCCGCAGGGCTGGGCAAAAAGTCATTACAAAACGTGACCCTCTGTGGGGGCAGACACTCAAACCTGAGGTTTTTGACGATTCGTCGGCGCAGACTGACCTTGTTGTGCGGAGGGTAGCTCGTAGCTGACAGCAAAATTATGTCTCACGTGCCATGTGCTTGGAGTATATCATACATCTGTTTACATTTCGCTCTCCGCCATGAGTCACCGGCACCGCAGAATCTTTTATACAGGCCGCCAGGTCTACATCACCTTGTAGAGTCAAGCCATTATGCACCAGGCGTCGAAAGCGCACAAACGTGCTCCGCAACCGGAGCGCGCGGTGCGCGAGCTGGACCAGCAAAGGGTTAGCGTACCTACTGTTTTGCTTTGCAATTCTCTTCACCCTGGCTGGGTGTCGGCCGAAACCGCAGAGCATGCAGGACCTTGCTGCACACAAACAAGCGTCTCTTTTCCCTCTTTGTCTCCCCTGTCTCTTCTTGGATGGTGGGATGAAGTGATTTTGCTTTGCCACCCATGGTTCTCCTGGGCTGAGACGATTTTGTTTTGACTCTGTTTTGCCTCCCATGGCTGCATGGCTCTTCTTCTTAGATGTACAAGCAACATCTTTGTATAAGCGCTTATATATGCTGCACACGCACTGCACAATTAGTCTTCTGATTTTGGATAGGCCACGTTTTGACTTTGGAAATACAACGCCATGTTCTTTGAAAGCACGTGGTCAAAATGCACACAGGCATGGCTGAAAATGCACTCAGGTATGTGTTTGAAAAAAACGGAGTTATACTGTGGAAGTTCAACATCATGTTTTTGAGAGCGGGTGATAGTTCGAATGTCTGCAACACGCAACGGCATGCTTGGGACAGGTATATATATATATATATACGTTTTTGAAAACACCGGTTTGTATGCTCAAAATGCACAGGCGCATTTCTGACAGACCGCAACGGGATGCTGTGGAAAATGCAGGGTTGCATTTTTTGGGAGCACCACACTATGTTTGCACTCTGGAACGGTATGCCTCTGACCAGCCAGATTTGTGACTTTGAAAGTGCAACGTCCTGCTTCTGAAAAGATTTGTTGTATTGACTGCACTGCGCAGTGTATTTTGGAAATATATATACGTGAGAAGGGGGACGAAAGCCAGCAGCCGCCAGACGAGTGTCTCTTTTTCTGGCGGGCGTCGCAGCACAAGACACATGGTCGGCAGCTTGCGAGTCAGCGGCGACGCGGATGCAGGGGGGCGTATGTAATGATGATTGAGGGAGCAGAGAAGCAAGCCGGGTGGCTTTGGGATAAGTTTGGTATGAAAGAAGTAGTAAAAGAGAAATGCGATATGTTGTATGTTGGCGTAGGTCATCATCACTCACAAGGCAATGGCATGTGTTTGTCACGCGCAAAAAAGGCATGTGTTTTATGGAAGTTGGAAGGCGATATCAGCGTTAGCGAAGGGGAAATACCGTCTGAGTTCGGGCGGTGAGATACTACGCGGGCGCGCGCGCGCACGCGCGAGTACGGCATGCGTTTGAAAACAAGCAGTTTTGTGTTTGCTACATTTGGAGTGTTTGAAGTTTGCAATGCATACTGCGGCACATCGAAAAGGGGCCTTCATTGATTTGGAAGAGTGAACGGGCACGCCTTAGCCGGGGCACGGACGTTTGATCCGCGGCGCAGAAGGGGAGGTCCACCAGGATTAGCTTGGGCTAGCAAAGGAGTGAGGATTTGCGCGCCTATCGATGCACATGCCTGGACTTGAGTGAGTCATGTTCTGGCTCAATCCAAACACAGTCTTTTTCCTTTAAAGGGGCCTTTATTAAACGATCCAAACACCTTCTTTATTCTTCTCTCTTTCTTATCAACTCTGCGCCTTTCTCACTCAAAGGCCTTGGCTTTGGCACCTGCGTGTGTAGATCTTTGGGCCGTGGACCCAGGCTGACTGGATTCGGCCAGGGCTGCCACAAAAAGGCGACGTCATGAGCCAGTAGTATATAGAACTTATCTATCTATCTACCTATCTATCTATCCATCTGTCTATCTCTCCATCTTTCTATCTCTATCTCTCTCTATCTATCTATCTATCTATCTATCTATCTGCACCGGCAAGCCTGAAAAACGTTCGGTGCGTGTGGACGCCGTGAGAACCATCCACTCGACGGACATGGTGCAAGTATAGTTTTTGATAGGGGGCAGGAACCCTATGCGGATATGTAGTCAACCTCGCAGGCATCCCCGCCGAAACTCAATCCAAATTCATGGACTTGAACTCAAATCACTTTCGGTTCTCTATGGATTTTGCGAGTCACGGGTTGTCCTGGGGTGACCCTAATCTTCCTTGGTTTGCTTCCATGGTGGTTTGCGCGATACTCCCCCAAACCTTTCTCTAGCTGATGAGCCGATTTCCACTGTTGTCCAGCTGCAGTCATGCAAAAAACTTTGTTCAACATTCCAAGTGCGCTGACCCTTCCACCTTTCCGTTCCATCGCCATTTTTCCGGGGAATTGAGTTAACTGAAAACCACTGTCAGAGTGTGACTCGCTCAGCCATCCCACTTGGGTGCTGGGTGTGATCCTCCGCAAGGAGGCGCTGCTTTCACTCCGGAATTCGTATAACAGAATCATCGTCTTTCATCGTGAATTCTCTTAACAGTTTTAGTCTCACCACTGAATTGCCAGACTCTATAGCCGCCGGGCTTTCACGGATACTCCTTTCTCCGGACCTTGCATCAACTTGTTTGCAACAACTTGTGATTAGGTTCAGTAAAGCAGCTAATGCACAGGGACTGCAGACTTGCGCCAAACAAGTGTTCAAACACCTTCAAGTCTTCCGACCTTTCGCCTTTCGGTTCGCTCTTTCTTTTCCTCAGAATTTTTTGCACGCGGAAATTCAAGAGTGCAGGGGTCTCACTCCCTAATTGGCTGTTCATTCGGCACTTTTGCTCGACAGATGTGCACGGAGCTACACCTATCTTTCACTCTTGCCCTCTTCTGTTTGCTCTTTCTGTTTTTCGTTCTTCTCTTTTCTAAGGCTTTTTATGTTGCTATTCAAGTCTTTTGACACCGTCGCCTGCCGCTTACCTGCGCTGAGCTGCCGTGCTGCCGAGCCGCTGCGCGCTTACACGACACCACCACAGCCAACGCAGCAGCATCATCCTCCCGAACTCGTATCCAACATGCGGCTGCGGTCTACTCTGTACGTGGGTCCCTGTCTCCACTCGAGTGCTCAACGCCCATTGTCCAAATAGCCTCCAAAGCCCTTCGTGATGCTAATGATGCTCAGAATGTCCCTCTCAACGACCACACCCCCCGCACCCCCTTAACTCACTTTGTTCGCTCTAAAAGCTCAAGCCTAGCCAATCGGCTGGCTTTCGTTATATAAGTACATCATGTGTTTTCGAGAAGACATGCGCAAATGCCCTGCGACCTGCAACCTCATGTCTTTTGAAAACACGCCCTTGCATTTGTCCAAAAAACACAAATGTAAATCCGAGAATATATCTGTGTCTTTTTTTGCAAAAATAGAGTTTGGTTTTTGTGTTTGCGTATGCCATGGCTGTTCAAGGCGAACCAACTGAACAAATGCTGCTTGGGGTTGATGCTGGTGTAATAGTCTGTCACATAAGTTCTATTAGGTACAAGTAGTTCCCGGGCAAGCCGGCAGCGGAAGTTTCCAAAAGAATAAACCTATAGGAAATGGGCATGTGGCAGGCTGATTCGCCGAGCTGCGATGTTCTTTGACAAAACAGGTTGGAACCGACCAATGGAGCGAAAGCGATTCAACCACCGTCAACTGTCTCGCAGGAAAAAACGTTGTTCATGCATTTTGCGAAATACAGAATAGAGATGACTCAGCCGCGTACTAAAGTTGTACTACAAAGTCGCCAGTTCTCATCTTCTAGCTCCCCGGCTACTCCGCGTACTAAAGTTGCACTACAAAGTCGCCAGTTCTCATCTTCTAGCTCCCCAGCTACTCCGCGTACTAAAGTTGTACTACAAAGTCGCCAGTTCTCATCTTCCAGCTCCCCAGACACTCCGCGTACTAAAGTTGTAGTACAAAGTCACCAGTTCCCAGCTTCCAGCTCCACAGATTGCCCATGTACTAAAGTTGTACTAGAAAGTCGCCAGTTCTCATCTTCCAGATCAGAAGGTACTGCGCGTACTAAAGTTGTACTACAAAGTCGCCAGTTCTCATCTTCCAGCTCCCCAGATACTCCGCGTACTAAAGTTGTACTATAAAGTCACCAGTTCTCAGCTTCCAGCTCCACAGGTTGCTCCGCATACTAAAGTTGCACTAGAAAGTCGCCAGTTCTCATCTTCCAGCTCCCCAGATACTCCGCGTACTAAAGTTGTAGTAGAAAGTCGCCAGTTCTCAGCTTCCAGCTCCACAGATAGCCCCGCGTACTAAAGTTGTACTAGAAAGTCGCCAGTTCTCATCTTCCAGCTCCACTCCGCGCATTAAAGTTGCACTACAAAGTCGCCAGTTCTCATCTTCCAGCTCCACAGATTGCTCCGCGTACTAAAGTTGTACTAGAAAGTCGCCAGTTCTCATCTTCCAGCTCCCCAGATCCTCCGCGTACTAAAGTTGAACTACAAAGTCGCCAATTCTCATCTTCCAGCTCCCCAGATACTCCGCGTACTAGCCAGTTCTCATTTTCCAGGTCCCCAGATACTCCGCGTACTAAAGTTGTACTACCAGTTCTCAGCTTCCAGCTCCACAGATTGCTCCCCGTACTAAAGTCGCCGTTCTCACCTTCCAGCTCACCAGATACTGCGCGCACTAAAGTTGTACTAGAAAGTCGCCAGTTCTCAGCCTCCAGCTCCCCAGCCTACTCCGCCTACTAAAGTTGCACTACCAAGTCACCAGTTCTCAGCTTCCAGCTCCACAGATTCCTCCGCGTACTAAAGTTGTACTAGAAAGTCGCCAGTTCTCATCTTCCAGCTCCCCAGATACTCCACGTGCTAAAGTTGCACTACAAAGTCGCCAGTTCTCAGCTTCCAGCTCCACAGATTGCTCCGCATACTAAAGTTGTACTACAAAGTCGACTTATGGCCGCTGGGTTGTCTGATCCACTGGTCCGATGATCCGCTGGCCCGCCGATCCGCTGATCCGCTGGACCGCTGGTCCGCTGATCCGCCGCTGATCCGACAAAATGACGTCCATGAGTGACAAAGTCGCCAGTTCTCATCTTCCAGCTCTGCAGATACTCCGCGCACTAAAGTTGCACTGCAAAATTGCCAGTTCTCATCTTCCAGCTCCACAGATGCTGTGCCTGCCACGAAATCTGCGCATGGGGTTCACAAAGCGCTGTGCCTGCCACGAATTCTGCACCTCGAGGTTCACAAAGTGCTGCGCCTGCCCACGAAATCTGCACATGGAGGTTCACAAAGCGCTGCGCCTGCCACGAAATCTGCACGTGGAGCTTCACAAAGCGCTGCGCCTGCCACTGCACCGCGAGGTTCACACAGCGCTGTGCCTGCCACGAAATCTGCACATGGAGGTTCACACAGTGCTGTGCCTGCCACGAAATCTGCACAAAGCGCTGTGCCTGCCACGAAATCTGCACACGGAGGTTCACAAAGTGGTGCTGCACCTGCCACGAAATCTGCGCATGGAGGTTCACAAAGTGCTGCACCTGCCACGAAATCTGCACATGGAGGTTCACAAAGCGCTGCGCCTGCCACGAAATCTGCACATGGAGGTGCCTGCCACGAAATCTGCACATGGAGGTTCACAAAGTGCTGTGC